AATGTACATGTATCGGTACATCGTCATATACGGATGTGTACAGACTCACTGTGTGTTCCCCACTCTTCATTGTTCATCGAAATCTAATGTAGGTGTACAGTGTACTCGGTTTGGTACACGTATGTACAGTAATCTGACATTCCCTCTTGTACAAGTACTGTACATGTACAAAGTGTACGTGTCAGAACAACCCACGATGGGCAGGCAATCAACCCGTACGGTACCAGTGCTTCTCACATTGTCCTTGCTGTGGAGTGGTTCACAAATCTCCAGATTTGTGCATGCATTATGTGAATTGGCCATGCCTTTATCCATCCATATTCTTGTCTCCATCACGCCATACATACATGTACATTGCAATGCAGTAAAAATGTAAATTGTATGTTAATTTCCATATGCACGCACAGTGTGACTCTTCCATTGCATCCAATTAGTATTAGGGAATAGAAAACATGGCTCTTTGAATTACTAGTAATGAGATGCATGTGTGCAACGCCTACATACAGTAAATGTACATGTACATGTAGGTTCATGTACGCATATGCTTCTGCTAAAATACTGGTGGCACAGCAGCACAAGTCTAATTAGCTATGTGCAGGGTGCCTTCACAATGGAGGCTCACACACGAACATACATGCATGGAGGGAATGTTTGTGTACCCTCATACACATGTAGTGGAGTCCCCGAACATGGCACACTTCCCACAACTTCCTTTGTGCAATGTTGCCTAACCAACCCCCTTGTTGAAATATTCCAAATTCAGTCTTTAAAATACATGTAACGGTACATGAACTGTGGTCACGAACGTTTCTTGACAATTCTGTGTCCTGATATTTTATTCCACCATCCATTAAATGGCGGCGTCTGGAAATTGGGAACATATTCAACTGAGTGTGACCTTAACTAAAGTGGCGCACTTGAAAAAAATCTCAGAATATCCCACATTTCACATTGAAGAATTTTTGATAAATTGATTGAGAAAAATTTTGATAACAATTTGATCAATAAATTCTGATAAATCATCATTACTTCCCAGTCACACTTAGCCAACTACAGAATTTTAAGAAAAACTTTTGTCTTTTAGGGCTTACCAATATTTTGAAAACACTTCTTTATGCCCATTGCAAAAAATCCAAATATCAGGCAAAACCAAAATTTCATTGAAACTTTGTAACTTGTAACTGGTGTGTAAACTCAGGATTTATTGAGAGGAAAGTTGAAAGCTTGATGAAATTTCACTCACAGTGAAATTTGAAGTAAAAAAAAACTTGGCTGTAGCAAGACCCAAGTGTCGAAAAATCCAAGTGCACCATGTTAGAGGCTGCACCACATTAGGGTACTGTACATCAACAAAAGATTTATGTATTGTGCCTTGTATTATGAAAATGTTGGATTTAAATAACTTTTACCAAATGCAATGGAACTGTTCATGTGCCTGATTTTTCTTCAGGGTCAGTACTTACATGTACAGTACATGTACATGGTAATGGTACATTATACCATTTGTACAGATGTACGTGTGTGTACTAAACAAATGCTGTACATTTACAGTGTACATGTACATGTATGTTCACAGTAAACAGTCTGCATGTAATACACGCTTGATCGCTGCGTGAGAGTTTGCCTTTAGCAGAGTTTAATATCAGTATCCTTCAGACTGGACAGTACCTTGATGGTGACCTTGTGTGATGCTGTGAAAACAACAGTTCATACTCGGCGGGTTAATTACGAGGCAGAGCCTACATGTATGCCTGCATTTGCGGTCAGTCGGACGTTCCTGGCATATTGCTCAGATCAGTTCTCAGAAACTGTAACGTAAAGAACATGCTACATATAACTCTGTGCGAGTTTCTGAGGGTGTTGCAGTTGTGTACAAATTTTTTTACGTAGTGCCAGAACCATATAAGAAATATTCAATATTTTTGTGTCATTTCATGCGTTTCATGCAAGAGGATATCTATCATTTCTGCCAGAACATTTGTGTGTGCACGCACGTGAACACTGCACATGTAATGATCCAAGTAACGGTGCATCATGCGCACTGAGATACAAGTGACATCAAAAGAGGGAAAAGGAAGGTACATTGTACGGCATTTCTTTGCCGAGTTGGTACATGAATCGGTGTTTGCTGGGCACCACGGCGCTATCACACATATACATGTAGGCCTACGTGCACATTTACATGTATGTAAATGTACAAGGCGTTGGCAGTGGTGGCAGTTTTTTATCTGGAATTCAGGTTCATACAGGATGTCATACGGATGATGTATTGGGTACATGTACATGATTTTACTCCCGGAATTGGTTGGCTGAGTGGTTAATTGATGATGGTCATTGCTTGGGATGGCTGCAGAGAGCAGTTGTGCAGGTGTTTTTGGCAAGAGCGATGAGGCATGGAAAATGGCAAGGAGGAAATACATATACGTTTGTGGGTTGTTGGGTATCTGCACTTACATACATGTAAACCAGGCTGCTGCATACATGTTCCTAATAGGGTACATTTACCGTGTATCTGTCAGCTTCTGCATGTCAAAGTGTTCCAAATCCAAACAGTTCTTCCTTCCTTCTTTAATCTGAACCATCCCCGTCTCCTCCAATTTCAATACTGTCTTACAGCCTAGAGGATCAGTACGCCAGAAAAAAAAGAAATAGAAAAGCAAAAGATAAAACAAGTGCGAGTTCCTGCGTTGTGCCATCTTTTTTTAACATGTAAAACCATTGTAAATGTATTTTTTAGCAGTAGAATATTGTGTTGACAGTTTTTCCATTTTTTAATTTTTTTTTTAAATTTACCTCACGTGAACAAGGAAATGCGAGTATTATTAAGCCCAGGCAAATCATGGCTATCCTCTTTGTGGTATTGCATATCTCCAGTCAAGAGTTGACTGACGAGCAAATCCCCATTGGAATTCATACTGCAAGTGCATGTACATTTTCACGTACGTGTTCATGAGTATATAATATACATGCACATGCAGCTTTGGTGATCAGAGAGTTTCATAGCCAAGCATATTTAGGTTTAGGTCAGGATGCTGGCACTCTCAGTGAGCAGCTCAGTGTGTAAACCCCACGGTGTACGACAAGGAAAAGTGGTCTCTCAGTGGTCAAACAGCTATAGAGAAAAGTACTCTTAGCCACTGGCGTACATGGACTGGTACGTGACTTCATGTAATCACGGTGGAACTGCGATATCAGTAGCTTAGCCCTTTTTTTAGTTGGAATATGAACCTGTCAACTCTGAATACATTTCTAGAAAAAAAAATTGCCATTATTTTACTCCTGATGGTGTAGTCATTAAAATTGATGCCTGTCAGTGTACATGTAGATCGGTCATGAGCGAAGTGTTGTTTCATTTGAAACAAATGTCATCTAACATCTCTTGCTGGTGTAGTTTTTTTACCAGTAAATGCTCAGTTGCACACTTGATAAGTATTAAATGAACCTGCCCTGTTTGCAGATGCCATGTAGAAGGAAGTACATGTAGAATTATTATTTTTTTTGTGGCGGCCTTACCATGGTCGTCGTATTTCCTGCGTGAAACAAGTTCATGTCTGATCCAATTTCATTTTTGCTGCTCACCTCACAAAAAGTGCGTAATAGTAGTTTCCTTGAGCCCAGACCTTTTCAAAATACGGTAAGAAATCTTAACCTCCTTTTTTTTTCTCCGGGGGAGGGGGAGGGGGGAGAAGGGATGCTTTTGACACGTTCTTAAGATGGAGTGGACTTTTCCCGGTGATCAATTCTGAGTTGATTTTCCCTTCCCTTTCCCAACTCCCGTTGACATTTGGTTGCATGTTTTGAGTGTAAATAATTGCGCAAGGCTGCCGTTGCCCAAGTATTTTTTGGGGCGATGGGGAGAATGCATTCCTGATTGTGATTGATGAAATGCATTTTTTTCGACCGGTCTCTGGGACACTAACGTAAGATGGAACAATGTGCAGAGGGAACAGTCCATAGAAGTACATACATGTATGTTAAGAGCCTTTTAGGTGTGGGTGTACGGTACGTGTACATGTACAACCTTAACCTGGACTCTGAAGTACAGTACATGTTCCTGGCTCAGAGATTAAGTTGATGAAATGATTGAATGTTGCATGTGTTTGTACGTCCTGTACCTGTACGGTGCACAAGTGTTCATGCACAATCATGAGCCCATAGGACATGGAAGAGATAGCAATGTGTACGCATGTATGTGTTCCCTTGACATTTATGTACACGTACACGAGGGCACATTCATGAGTACGTGTACCTCAGTGGCAGGGATGTTCATGTTTGTTGGATTATGACCATGTACATGTACATAAACCACAATGTGAACATGCAGCCTGCTCATGTTGTGCTCGGTGAGTGTACCGGGCACAGTAATTATCATCGGTGGGTTTTCTGGTACAAACACATGTTAAAAATGGGCAGACTCAACACACCATTGCAAGGTACATGATGTCCGTGTAGTGCAGGATCAACATGTACAATGTACACTGCCTGTATCACATGTACATGCTCATACATACATGTATACATGTATGCTTTTGATGTGTTCCCATGGGCACATGACTCAGCCAACCCAAGAGACTAATCTTCACGCCGCTGTCTTGGAAGAGCTTATTTTGCAAGCTGATGTTCACTCTTGCATGTATCTTGCTGGCTGCAGCAAGAACTTTCAGGAGCCCAGTCAGTCATTCAAGTGGTACAGACTGTACATGTTCACGCCCAAATAAGAGAGATTCCTTATTTTTCCTTGATGCCTGTAAATTACATGTACATTGTACTCTCTAAACTGAAGATCGGTGAGAAGTGAATTGTGTTTTATGGTTGGAACAGCTCCATTATTCATTGTTTGTTCCCTAATTCAGGTTTCCTGTGATGCATACACTGTACATGTATATGTCTCAAACAAAAAAAAAAGGAAGAAAGAGGACGCCGATATTTTTTATTGTGCCGTCAGAAAGAAAGACCATGGGCTCTTAAACATGGATGTCTTGCTTTTCTTGGCATGATAGGATCATCCATGAAGAAGGCTACTCCGAAGAAGATTGTAAGCAGTATAAGCCGGTAGTATACAGCAACACCATACAGAGCATGATAGCCATCATACGGGCCATGGGATCCCTCAAGGTAGACTTCGGTGATGGCGAGAGAACGGTAGGTGAACATGTATCCAGCTTCTCCCCCCCCTCCCGTGCCGCACCCACACCCATTTTTACAAGTTTTTATGGAGGCCAGCCATGCTTGAAAAAGTACTTAGATTATGTGTATTTCAGCAGACTCGTTCAAATCTCTCAAAGCAGACATTGGCCTAGACAGTGAATGGTACATCAATGTCTCTTTGACCCTTTCAAGTGAGCATTTAAACCATAACCGTCCCATAAAAAAAATAGACCTCATCTCCGACGGGGGGGATGTTGAAGGCCTTTGCTGGAAATGTCACAAAGGAACATGAATACTGCACGTACGTGTACATGGAGTACTTTTCAATTCGAGACTTGCATTTATTAATTAGAACCCCTTTAGAGTAGGCTCTTTTTGAAGCCTTTGGAACAGCATTAGTAATTCTATGTAGAGAACGGCCCCGGGTTGAATGCAGCCTGAATGCTAAATGAATGCTAAAAGCCACACATGGTGCTAAATATCAATTCTGCATGGCTGGCTGGTTGGCTTTGTTGTTTGGCTTGGATGGAGCAGTATTACTTTGCAAGCTCTGCAATTATTATAGAGTGCATGAACTAAACATCAGACGGGAGAATGAAACAATCAGCTTTCTGTCCGACGAATTGCCTTTTTATCTCTACCACAATGCTTTTATTTGGTCAGCCTAAAAGTCTGGTGTACAGTGTTTTCAGTTTCACTTCGAAATGGAAAAAAAAAATGCTTCTCTGGAACAAAGCTGAGTGTGCTTTTGGAACTGAGAATCTAATTTGAGTCTGGCGGCACTTGTGGCAAAACAGAAAATACACAGGCACAATTCCTCTTGGTTTGGCTTGTTTTGCTTGGTAGATGTCGCATGTTGCATGTTGCCCTTAGGTGTACATCATATGCATGTATTATCTAGAAAGATGTACATGTACATGTGTGTGTAGGAGGGGGGTCCTCACTGAAGCGTGGCCAACTCTAAAGAGATCAACTATTTCCTGTCATTTCTAGACACTTTCAATGTACATTTACACGTACAGTACAGTATGTACCTATGTATCGTATGTGTTTGAATCTGTCACACTGTGATTGGCCTCAAACACTCTGCAGGCCTCAGACCGGATAACTTTATAATCATTGGCAATGCACAGAGTTGAGCTGCTGTTAGTTGTAAGGGGAAGAAGCCCCTGCTTGTAACTGCATGCACTTGTACACAT